CCATGCCCAGCTAATTTTTTGTAGTTTTAGTAGAGACGGGGTTTCACCATGTTGACCAGGATGGTCTCGATCTCTTGACCTCGTGATCCACCTGCCTCGGCCTCCCACAGTGCTGGGATTACAGGCGTGAGCCACCGCGCCCGGCCGAGCCTCCTCCTTAAAGGGTGAGGTTGGAGTGTGGTGAGAGGGTCTGGTCTTACAGCGGCTGTGGAGCTCGCCTGGGGCCAGATGCAGCCGTGTGCCTCCGGGAAGGCGCCGGGTGGGTCGGAGGCTGCAGGCGTCCTGGAGCCTTTGGAAGAGTGTCTGTCTTTGCTCCGTGTGCTCCAGGCCAAGCTGGGCTGGGCCAAGTGGACTGCGTGTTTCTTCCCCAGCACGGCTTCCTCACGGACACACACAGGCGGAGGCACGTGTGTGGCCACACGCTCGCTCCACACACGCATGCACATTCTTTGAATGTTTTTCCTAATTGCAAAAAGAATACAAACTCATTGTGGAAAAGCTATAAAATCTGGAGAGACACAGGAAGTGGGTTGCCCGCCCGTTTCCGCCTCCGAAACTGCCGCGTGGCTGTTATTCTGTGCTTTCTGCCCAAACTCATGCCTTGGGAACCTCCCAGGGGCACACGTACTGCCTCGTGGATGCGCCACACACACATGTGCGCACACTTTCACCCGCAGCACACGAAAGCTGTCTTGAGTCCAAGCTGCTGCTCTGGGCCGCCCCAGGCCTCCTCCCCCGCTCCCTCTGCAGCCAATAGGGATGGGGTCCCCTCTGGGCGCTGTCTGGTGCGTCAGCACAAATGGGCTAATAGGAGCCCCTTCCTTGGCCTCTCCTGTAGGGTACAGAGCCATTACGGTGCGGAAGCTCATGCAGGTAAGAGAAGCATCCCCGTCCTCTCCGGATGTCCCTGCTTTGTTGAGGGTCTCCCAGGACTGCAGGTTATGTTCCCAAGTCACCTGATTTCTGGGACCAGGCAAATGTGAGGCCTCCCCACGTGCCCAGCACCAGGGCCAGAGCAGGCTGTGGAGACAGCTGCTGGAGGGCAAGCTGGGGTCAGCATCCCTTCTGGGCCCGGCCTGAGCTTGCCCAGGACGAATAGGGCCTCTCCCTTGGAGTGGGGTTGATTTACGGGGAGCCTCCTCCCAGATCTCTTCTAGGGGTCCTGGTCCGAGGGAGGTTTCGGGTCCCAGCTGACCTGACCCTTGCACAGTGTGCCCAGGGGTCTGTTGGGCAGGCAAATCAGGAGCAGTCCCGGCTGCAGGCAGGTTGGGTCGGGGCGGGCGAGGGCACAGCTGCAGGTGGCCGGGTGCCCGCCCGTCATGGTGGCGCTTCCTTGCAGGGCATGGGCCTTGGTCTCTCCAGCGTCTTTGCTCTGCGCCTGGGCCACACCTCGAGCTTCTGCGAGTCGGTGGTCTTTGCATCAGCCTCCATCTGCCTCCAGACCTTCAACCACAGGTGAGGGCTGACCGCTGAGCCCACCAGAGCCACCGTGCTGCCCGCGTGCGTGAAGAGGGAGCTCTGTCCGCCTCTCGAACCTCGCCCCCTTCCCAAGCTGCTGGGCAGCGGCTGCCCTGAGGCCATGGGGGGAGTCATTTAGGAAGCGCGGTTCACAGCAGTGAGCAGCGTGTGTGCGGGATTTGTGCACCCTGGGAACGCACTTTCCCCGCAGCACTTGGCTGTCAGGAGCGGCTTCCTGCACCAGGCTCTCCGTGAAGAGGGGCGCTGGGGCTCGGGTTGGGGAGGTGTGCAGAGCTGAGGCTCTGGCCAGGGAGCAGGCCCAGCCCTCCCAGGGCTCCACCAGGCCTCGCTTGCCTCCTCCCCATGACAGCTCCTGGCTCTGGGTGAGCGAGGGCCAGCCGCGAGCTTGGTGGGGGCCGCTCACAGCCTCTTTCCTTCCCGCAGTGGCATTTCCGTGAACATCCAGGACTTGGCCCCGTCCTGCGCCGGCTTTCTGTTTGGTGAGGACCTTGCCCACCCCAGCTCTGCCCCTCCTTGGGCCTCTGGGCGGGGGGCTTTCGCTGACGTCTGTGTTCTCTCTCCCTCTGGCCTGTTCACAGGTGTGGCCAACACAGCTGGGGCCTTGGCAGGTGAGGGGTGTGCCTCTGCACCCAGGAGCTCCCCTGTCTGTGGGGTTCGAGCCCACCAAGGTGCTGCAGGATGGAGGGTGGGGGTGTGCCTCCCCAGTGTCAGGGGAGGGCACAGACCCCAGAGTGGGCCCAGGGAGAGGAGGATATGGCCGCCTTCCAGGTTCCCCTGGACTTTGCTGACGGCAGGTGGCTATGGGTCACTGTCTGCCCTGACGCACAGATATGGTCCAATCCTGGTAGTCCGGGGTCCCCGGGATGCCACCTGGCCCCGCTGAGTGCCTTGGTTGATGGGGGTACCTTCTCCAGCCCAGCCACACCTGGGCTTGCCTGTGGCTCTCACATCCCCTTCAGCGGGACAAGGGGGACTCCTTAGGAGGCCATTTCCCGGATGGCCTGTGAGATCTCTGTGTCTCCGAGACCCCCCAATTCTGAGCCTGACCCACAGCTGGGACACCCGAATTCAGCCCTGGGAACCATGGGGCTTCTATCCGGTGCTGGACCCCCCAGCCCTTCCCCTGGCACCGCCCTGAGAACTGGGCTGGGGCGTGGGGCCTGGGCTACCTGGGAGCGCTCAGCCTGGTCCTCTCTTGGGCAGGTGTTGTGGGCGTGTGTCTGGGCGGCTACCTGATCGAGACCACGGGCTCTTGGACTTGCCTGTTCAACCTGGTGGCCATCATCAGCAACCTGGGGCTGTGCACCTTCCTGGTGTTCGGACAGGCCCAGAGGGTGGACCTGAGCCCCACCCGCGAGGACCTCTAGGTCCCAACCCCGCAGCCTCTCCCAGACCCAGATGCCAGCAGCCCCGGGACAGAGGGGACTCAATTTGAGGGACCTGGTCACTCCATCTCAGACGCATGAGCAGAGAGGACTGCAAACCACTGTGGAGCCTGAGGCTTCTTGAGGAGTTCACACCCACTGGCGGGGGAGGGGGAGTGGGCCTGGGTCCAGACCAGGCTCGCTGCTCTCTGGGCCTCAGTTTCCCCACCTGCCAGCGGGCTCGGTCCTGCCCTCCTCACAGGCTGGTGTGGCCGTTGGGGTGAGTGGGGTTACCGTTAATAGGCACAGCCTCATTCCCGCTGCCATCTGTCCTGCGTGGTCCCGGCAAGCCCCCTGCAGTGCCTGCCTGCTAATGTGGGGCGGGGGCCAGGCTGCAGTCTCCCCAACCCCAGCCCGCTTTGCTGTGTCTCTGGTGGGCTGTCCTCCATGGTGGGGGCCATCCTGTGCACTGCAGGAGGCTTAAAGACTTCCCTGGCCTCTACCCACCCCATGCCAGCAGCACCTACCCTCCCTCTCCCTCCTCCCAGTCAAATAACACCCAGAAATGTCTCCAGACTCTGCCCAGCCTCCCACGTAGTCCGTATCTAGACACAGCCTCAGAGTCTCTCAGCAGCCTGACAGAACCCCCCAGGGCAGTGGGTGGGTGGTGGGCTAGAGACCCTTGCCCGTCGCTGGGACTCTGGCACCGCTGTCTGCACTCACCGTGTCTCACTGTGCGGACGCCTGGGCGCTCCTTTGCCCTGCCCAGCACAGCTCTGGCCCAGACACTCCAACACGCATGGCTTTCCCAGGCCTGGTGATTCTGCCTCCCAGGGATGGTCGGCACCTTACTCGGGGTGGGGGTCCCGTGCACCCCTGAACACACAGACCCACCTTTCTGGCGTTCTTTCTACCTCCCTGTTCATTCCCTGAGGAACTGGTGGTTTCATGAGTTGATGATACATCCTGCAAGATGTCCACGTGGAGGGAAAAATCCCAAAAATGCGGAAAAGCACGTGAAGCCTGATTCAAGTAAACTATTAAACTATTCAAAAAGAAGGTTGTTACTTTATTAACACGTTTTCTTTTTTTTTTTTTTTTTTGAGACAGAGTCTCGCCCTGTCACCAGGCGCCAGGCTGGAGTGCAGTGGTGTGATCTTGGCTCACTGCAACCTCCGCCTCCCGGGTTCAAGCAATTCTCCTGCCTCAGCCTCCCAAGTAGCTGGGATTACAGGCGGTGCCACCACGTCCAGCTAATCTTTGTATTTTTTAGTAGAGAGAGAGTTTCACCATGTCGGCCAGGATGGCCTCTGTCTCTTGATCTTGTGATCCGCCCGCCTCGGCCTCCCGAAGTGCTGGGATTGCAGGCGTGAGCCACCGCGCCCGGCCGAAACCTTTGCTTTTGAAGAGCGAACATGTGTTAACGACTTTTTCTAGCTCGTTCCTGAGGAAGCTGGCGACACACTGGAACCAGGTCAAAGGAGAACGCAGGAACAGACACATTCCTGGGCCGGGGGTGTTGAGTGAATGCGCCCGCAGAGCCAGGCCGGTTTTGGCGTTCCTTCGCCGGTGGGTCCTGTGTGTCCACAGAGGACAGCGATGTCCCAGGACGGGCCCCTGTGGAGTCAGACAGCCTAGCTGTACTGTGCAAAGACACAGGGTGGTTTTCCACGTGAGCACGACATTCCCCTATAGTCGGCCCTAACCCTGTGGTCCCATGGGTACAGCTGGAGTGTCTCCCCCACAGAGGGTTGGGCCAGCCCTGCTGGACGCCCCGGGGAGTCTCGGGGGAGGAGGGGCTTCCGGAAGCCTGGCAGTTGCTGTCCGGAGACTGTGAAGCCAGGCCCAGGAAAGGGGCCTGCAGCCAGGTTCGGGGGTGGGGCCCGTGCGTTGAGAGTGAGTTTCTCTCTCCTCACCTTGCATTAAATCTACATGACACACAACGCGCCACTGTAGCCGCTTGTCAGGCCACGCCTCCGTGGCATTAGGCACATCCGTGGTGTGCAGCTGTCGCCACCGCCCGTCTTCAGGACGTTCTCGTCTCACCAAAGCGAAGCTCCTGCTCATTCAACGCTGGCTCCCGTGGCTCCTTTCCACTTGGTGTCTCGACTTCAAGTGGGGCTGCTCTGGGAACCAGTGCGAGGGGTGCCCTGGGCGGGCCTGCCCCCGGCGGATCTCGCTCAGCAGTGTGCTGGGCTTTTACCCATTTTGCAGCAAGTGTCAGCATTTTTCTCCGTTTTAAGGCTGAATAAAATACTCTGTTGCGTGGACCAGCCATGTTTTGTGTATCTGTTCACCCATTGATGGATCTATGAACACAAGTGTGCAATTAGCACCTTTTATTTTTATTTTATTTATTTTTTGGAGACAGAGGCCCACTCTTTCCTCCAGGCTGGAGTGCAGTGGCGTGATCTCGGCTCACTGCAACCTCCGCCTCCTGAGTTCAAGCGATTCTCCTGCCTCAGCCTCCTGTGTAGCTGGGATTACAGGTGCCCGCCACCATACCGGGCTAATTTTTGTATTTTTAATAGAGATGTGGTTTCACCATGTTGGCCAGGCTGGTTGTGAACTCCTGACCTCAGGTGATCCACCCGCCTTGGCCTCCCAAAGTGTGGGGATTAGAGGAGTGAGCCGCTGTGCCCGCCCTACTTTTATTTTTTTGGAGACAGGGTCTTGCTCCGTCGCCCAGGCTGGAACACGGTGGCACAGCCACAGCTCATGGCAGCCTCAGCTTCCCTGCCTTAGGCGGATCCCCCCACCTCAGCCTCCCAAGCAGCCGGAACCACAGATGCACGCCACCACACCCACCACTCACTGCGTTGCCAGGCTGGCCTTGAACTCCTGGGCTCAAGTGACCCTCCCCCCATGGCTTCCCAGAGTGTCGAGATTATAGGCATGAGCCATGGTGCCCAGCCAGTTCTCACTGTCTAAAATCCAAAGCCAGCTACAAAAGCTCTGAGAGTGAGGAGTCAGCCTGGCCCAGGGGACCGGAGTGGAGACCCCAGAAGGGCTGCCCCTCTGGCCCCACGGTCCTGCAGGACCAAGGTTCCCGCTGGACTCTGTCAGGTTCCTGTCACTTCCTTGCAGAGTGGAGGCCAGGGGAGACTGTCCTGTGGGATGTGAGGTCAGGCCCAGGCACAGCGGGCAGGTCCCCCTTCCCTCCCAGCAGCTTCTGGGTGCTGACCCCGGCCTTTCCTCAGGCGGATGTTGGAACCCAAGATGGTCGGAAGTCAGGGAGTCTGGGGCGGGCTGCTCGCTCTCCCCCAGCTCCAGGGGAGCAGGCGGCAGGGTCTGCAGGTCATTGTCTGTGGTAGACAGGCCCAGATGCGTCCACACCCCGCCCAGATGCATCCAAACCCCACCCAGAAGCGTCCACACCCCGCCCAGATGTGTCCTCACCCCGCCCAGATGCCGTCCACACCCTGAGGGGCGGTTCTGCAGGATCCCAGTGCCTGAGCTGCGGGAGCCCCCCTCCCCTCTCCCGCCCACGTACCTCAGGATGGAGGCTCCTTGGGTGGCCACAGAGAGTGCTGGAGGCAGCTGCTCGTTCTATCGCCCACGCACTGGCTCCTTCTTCCAGGAGCTGTTCAGCCATGGCTGCCGACCCTGCCTCTGCCACCTCAGCTCCAGGCTCCGGCGGCTCCTGACACGGGCTGGGGCGGAGGGGCTGGGACGTGGCAGGAACGAGAGGGAAACTGCCTGGGGAGGCTGGGGAGGAGCACCCAGGCCCTGTGGTCATTTTGAGAGGAAGCGGGTGGCAGGGCCTGTGTGGGTGGATGCTGAGCCTGGAGGCCTCTATGCAGGCCAGCACGGGTCAGGCTCGGACAGGAGACCCAGCCGCACACAGGTCCCCTCGCTCGGTGCCCACCCGCCTGGGGCCTTGCTAGACGGCAGAACGTGCTGTCCATGCGACTTCAGACCCGGTCCCGAGGCCACCCCAGCAGATCCTGATGCTGGCCACACGGAGCTCCCATTTCTACGCCTGGATTTTCAGAGCTCCCAGGCAGCTATTGTGCCTCCAGGTGACCCAGGTCTTCACTAGTGTTCTGGGGCCTGACACACCGCTCTGCTGCCAGGTTGGCGCCCTGAGGGCAGCCGACAGCAAAGAGGAGGCAGCGGGGCCCACGGCACCTCTCCTCACACCTCCACGCCTGGGAAGCAGGGGCTCCGGTTAGCTGCAGTTGTGTGTGGGAGTGTGTGTGTTTGTGTATTTATGAGTTGTGCGACCCCGCGTTTGCATGTGTGTGTGAGCATGCATGTGTGTGCATGCATCCAAGTGTGCTTGTTGGTGCATGTGAGTGTGCACGTGGATATGCACGTCTGTGTTCATGTGTGAATATGCAAGTATGTGTGAGTGTGAGTGTGCATGTGTCTGTGTTCGTGCGTGAGTGTGCAAGGGTGTTTGTGTGCAAGTGTGCAAGTGTCTGTGTGTGCACACGTGTCTGTGTTCACGTGTGGATGTGCAAGTGTATGCATGTGTCTGTTCGTGTGTGTGCAGGTGTCTGTGTATGTGAGTGCATGGGTGTGTGCATGTCTGTGTTCATGTGTGAGTGTGCACGTCAATATACATGTCTGTGTGTTTGTGAGTGTGCATGTCGTGTCTTTGTGTTTGTGTGTTTATGTGTGAGTGTGCATGTGTCTGTGTGTTCCTGTGTGGGTGTGTTTATGTCTGAGTGTGCATGTATCTGTGTGTTTATGTGTGAGTGTGCATGTGTCTGTGTGTTCCTGTGTGGGTGTGTTTATGTGTGAGTGTGCATGT